GAGCTCTTAACCAACTGAGCCATTTGGCCGGCTTCTGTATCTGACTTTTTATAATGGCAGGCGTTCCTTTTCTCATAAAAATAAACAAAAATAAAAAATAAAATACAAAGTTTCCAAAAAAAAGGAGTGAAGATCTGGGCTGACACAATCACCGTCCAAACTAGTCGTGGACTTCACAGTCAGCTCTTTCACCTAGGTGTTATTTCTAAGGAGTTTGCTTCCGTAGGGCTGGTGGAGCCTGTATTTTTTAAATCTCTGTAAATGATTCAGATGCAGTTCTCAGACTCTAGGGACTACACTGGCAACTACCGGTTTACTCCCTTGCCTTAATCATTAATAATGAATGCACTCATGGGCACCATGAATTAGTAAGATGTTGAAAGAAACCTAACGTGATTTTGACATCACAAGATCACATTTCTAAAAGCCAGGGAGGAGTTGGATACTTTTGCTTGGGAGTTAAAGAATCTTGCAAGGGTACTGCCTTCATGTATAAATCTATTCCTGCTTGTGCTGAGCCAATCACATTACTCTGTGACAAATTTAGAAAAGAGAAACTAAGCGATGAAGCCTGCTCATGGGAAGCTCAGCAGCTGGAGGGTCACACAGCGTTGGGGCTGAGGAAGCAAGCCCCAGATGACTAAACAGCCTGAGTCCAACAAGTAAACAGAGGAAGCTGGTTGGTGGGGAAAGCAGCGCAAACAGGGAGACACAGAGCATGCCTGCGTCCTGTGGACTTTCCAAGTTCTAACTTTCTCTCCGGAGGCCTTACCATGCTGTGGTTCTTATGCTTTGATTTCTATGAGCTTCCTCTTGCAGCTTTAGAAAAAGAAAAGCATCCTATCTTTCTTGAGCTAGCTTGAGTGGGCTTCAGCTCCTCAGAGAGTATTGCTCCTCTTTCACGCCAAGAAGTGGAGAGCCGTGTGGTGTGTGAGGATAGAATTTTCTGTCCCAACCAGGAATCTTCGGAAAGGAAAGAGGATACTAGTAATTATGCCAGGACAACAGGTGTCACAGGCAATGGGAGATATGGTCATCCTTGGGAAAGGAAATGTGAATTAGGAGACCCAGCTTACACACCTAACCCTACCCCCTTCCTTTTCATTTGGACTTTCATAAGTCTTTTATCTGTGTTTCTAGTGTCATGTAAATAAAAAGGCAATTTGATACCTACCATCACCCATTTAAAAATGGACATAGTCTGTTTCCTTAACTCTAAAATAACAGACTAAGTGATGCCTAAGGTTTTTCCTTATTCTAAATCTTCCTAACTTTGAAAAAAGGCAACTCGGGAGATGAGACAGATATGCAAGAGAGAACCCTTTAAGATTATATATAGTTGATTGTCTTTACATAAACAGCAATGAAGATATTTTACTAATTTGACTTAAAAAAAAAAAAGAATAAGACCTGCACATATTCACCAATCAATGTTATTTGGTTAAATTATCAGTGATTGTATTTCCTGAGGTATCAGTAGAACAGCTCCACCAAAGAGACTCACTGGTACTCACTTGCCCAGGGTCTCAGGTTCTGGCAAAGCCTAAGCGTATTTGTCCTGTTCATCTCATCCCTGAGACCTAAAGCTATTGTCCTTCCTCGGCCTGTGAATGGGAAGCAAAATGTGAACCATCTCTTTCCTTCTCACTGGTTCCCTCGCCAACGCATCTCTTATTAGCCAGCCCCGACTTTGGCCAGCTCTGCATCCCCACTTCTGGGAGATGCTCAAACTGTTAGCAAGTCTAAGGCCAAATTTAATACTCTGAGCTGCATAGTTGCTCTCAGGCAAAGGTCACATGCCCGTGTCATAGAATCTCAGAAGTGTGGAGCTAGAAGGAACCTTATCTGGTATATAAGCGTCAGTTCCTAGATGAGAAAAGAATAGCCAGAAACAATAACAATTGTTAATATTTGGGCATTATGGAAGGGTCTGTGCTAGATGCTTTACATTAATCATTTTATTTCATTCTTGCGACGACCCTAAAGTAGGTATTCTTATTACCCCCATTTTCAAAATGAGGAACTTGAGGTTTTGAGAGGTTCAGTAATTTGCTACTCAGCTTCTTCAACATAATCCAAGTATTTGTTGATAACCATGTTCTACAGATAGATTCTCAGGACACTGTTCTTTCAACTAAATGACCAACAGTGAGGCAACAGGCATTAATTATGTACCTACCACGTACCAGGCACCGTGCTAGGTGCCAGGACAATTAGTGGGGTTACCAAATGAAACGAAATGTAACACAAAATCCTCCCCTTCTAGGCTCTACAGAGGACAAGAGATTGCTAGGTCTCTGCAAAGCTCTGTTTTCAGGGAAGTCAAAACGCTGGACAGAGAAGCCTGCTTAAAGCTCAGAATATCCCCTAGGAAGTGAGTATGGGCAGACAAGGAGGGAGGCATTACTCTGCCTCTTTTGCAATTGAGAAAACTGAAGCAGATACAGCTACAAGGCAGTAACCAGTGAGGCCAGGAACGGAATGGACTTGCCTTGTTTCTTTCCACTCTATTCACTGGCCAAAATTAAGATCTCCTTTCAGTCGCCTCTGGTCACTGCAGGACTCAAGGACAATTATCACTTGAGGCAAATTCTCCTGATAGAAATTACGTTACCAAGCTTCTCTCAATTAGCCAAACCTACTCATCTGAATTTCATCCCTTTTCTCTCCTCAGTTTTTGATGTAGACAAGCCAGGGCATGGACAATCTTCAAATGAAACAATTAAGAACCAGAAGTATCAGAGTGGATATTACAACTTTATTAATGTCAAGCTATGAATGAATAGTACCATAGTAATACTACTGGAAAGAATTACGGCAGCCATAATTGATCACTTGTTCCACGCCTGATAGCTGTGCTGAGTGCTCTACATAGATGACCTCAGATGACCGCACTCAGTCTCACAACAGCACACACACAACAGGGGCAGATCTAGGGTTTGTGTGTAGCTTCTACAATGTGAGGAGGCCCTTCCTGAGAGAAACAAATTTTGAATACAGAATTAGGTGCAGAGCCTTGGAAGGGCCTGTGCAAGTGAGAGGCCAGAAACTTAAGCTCTGTGGGTTTCATGATAAATGCAGCCCTGTCAAGACAGCTAAACATCCTTGCTTTTCCAAGTAATGAAACTGAAGCTCAGAAAAGTTAAGTAAATTGCCCTAAGTCAAAAAACTTGTAAATGGTCAGGCTAGGATTTGTACACAGGGTGTCTGACTTCAAATCTCATGTATTTTTTTCTTTGCTTATATGGTTTCTAATAAAAATAAAACTGTCATCATTTACAAAGCCTGAACTATATCCCATGAAAATGAAACCCATGCTCTGTAATAATTCTTATAATCTCTCTATTTACATGAGTGATTATTATCCCCATTTATAGATGGGGAAACCAAGAATCAGTAAAGGTTAAGCACCTACCTAGCATAGCACAAGATTACCCAGTTAGTTCACGGTGCAGCCAGGATTCATGCCCGGGACCATTGACCTGCGGAGTCCTAACTCTTTCGGGCTATCCCATGCTACCACCCTCAAGTCCCAGCCAAGCTGCCTTACAACCACCCCCTATGGCCCATGAAGTAAGGACCACAGAGCATCTGAGGGCTGGTGCTATCTGAGGCACTAGGGTGATCACTCATCATAAAGGGCTCTCCTAAAACAGCCTTTCAAAGCCACACAAGAAAATTCATATACCAACTACAATTGCATTGCTTAACTCATCACCCAAGTACGAGTTACATCCTTAAACAATCTTGCTATGGATTTGCAGGTGGACAGGAGTGGAGAATTTTCAGTTCAGTGTTTTCCTTGAACATTGGTGCTCAGGAAAAACAATGGTCTTTGAGAAGCTCAGACAATGGGCTTCATCTTCTCTTGGCAATGTGAACTTAAAAAAATTAATTTTTTTTTCCTTTAAGTTGCCTTTACTTCAATAGTTGATGGCTTTTGGAAACCTCTATTAAAGGAATATGTCTCTTGCCACCTGGAACGAGACAACTTTACTAACACAGAGTGCAGTGATGAAATTGGACGAGGCCTGGGATTTTTTATGCAGCCAGCGGCAAGTGCAAACCAGTGGGAGAAACGAAGCATGTGCTTAGGGATGCTAACAAGAAAGGCTGCTCCAGTGATTTTCTTTTTTGAAAGGAAAAAGTGATTTCAGTAACTCTCTCTTGTTCCTCTTTCCACACAGATTGGTGGGTATGGGTGAAAGGGCAGAAGAAACGAACACCAGTGAAATCAAATGATGGATAAGTCTCCTAAAATGACCAGCTAGCCCTTCAGCCCACTCATCTAAGGAGAAGAGACGGGTACAGGTTCTTTGAAGAATTAAGAAATGCATTTTTGCCTAATGCTTATGGCTGTCTGGGAAGAGCAAGAATCAATGGTAACACAAAGCAACACAGACTGTTGGTACAAGATATCAAGCTGCTAAGTAGGCAGCCCCACCCCCACCCCCCCAGGCCTGGCTACCAACTGCCCTACCCAACCCAGAAAAGCAAAAACACAATACAATAGACCACACGGCCGCTTTCCCCCCACCCTCCACCCTCTCCACCCCCCGCCCCTCACCACTTCAAAGGCCACAGAACGCAGCAAACAAACCTGCCTCTTCCGTGGTGTCTTTCATTTAGTTTTTTTTTTTTTTTCACGAAGTGGGAGGGAAATGAGTTTGGGCCCAACTGAGATTGGGGTGTAGGGAGGACGGGGGTGGAAGTGGGGGAGATGCAAATGATAGAATATAAGTGAAAGCGTTTTTAAGAATCTAGATCCACAGTCCTATTTATTATTATAAAGGAAACATAGTCATTTCCATTCCACTCCATCCTTCTCGAACCCTTACCAACCCCAAGAAGACAAGAGGAAGAAAGGAAGGCGCTAGTTCAGAGGGTTTGCAGAGGTGCAGATCTTCCTCGCACAAGGTTCGCGGGGGGCTGGAAGTGCCCCTCGCCCAAAACGCGAACACGCGCGCGCGCACACGCCCCCCCTCCCAGCCCCGACTTACCTTCTCGATCGTCTGGTCCACGGCCTTCTGGAAGACCCGGGCCACCAGTAGCGTGACGCTGGTCACAAGCAGGAGCAGGGACAGCGTCCCCACCGCGTAGAAGCAGCACCTCCCCATTCTGCGCGCGGCTCACGGGCCGGGCGGCGCCGGCCGTCGTTCCAACTGGAAGGCGGGAGGGGCCGCCGCGGGAGCGGAGGGAAGACCCGACACCCTCCGGCGCCCACAGGCCGGGCGGCGTGCGCGGCGCCGGGCTCCGCGGCGGGGCGGG